AGCACAACTGCTTCATGATCGGCATGGGGCAGGAAGACAGCAGAATCATTCGTCTGGCTCAGATGCACTAAATCAGTCCCCAGATCAGCAACAGCAGCACCACCTGGGAACGTGTCAGAAATGCAAAACCTCAGTTCCTGGCTAAGACCTTCTGAATCAGACCCTCTGGGAGTGAGGCCCAGCCACCGGTATTGTGACCAGCCTTGTGGGGGTTCTAAGGCTCCATCCAGATCAAACCCCCTGCACCAATGTGATGAACTGCAGAGTTGTCAGCCAGGCTGGAATGAAGCTGTGCTTTTTGATTCCTGCTCTAGAACATTTCTCGCTGTCTGACAAGTCTCCTACACAGGCCAGTTCAGTTCAGGCCTCACGTTCATTCTCCAGACACATGTGAATTCTGGGGAGAGAAACTGATGCCCAGTGATTAAGACCTAGGGCTCTAATAGGAAGAAAGCCAACCAGGTTGATCCTCAACTCCTTCAAGCTGTGTGACCTTGAATGACTGCCTTAACCTCTCTGTCCTCATCTGTAAAATGGGGACAATAACAGTACCTAGTTCATAGGTGAATAGTCAGGGTGAAAGGCTTATAGCATAGCTCTGCGCATATAACAAGTGCTCAGTAAAAATAGCTGTATGGTTTGAGAGAGCTATTATCTGAGAACTCTGAGGGAGGGGAATTCGATGTTTGTGCGGTGCTTTAGATTTGTCTGCATGATCACTCCGGAGGGGCTTATTGGTAGCAGACGCTGTTGGTGCCTGTCCTAGTTCCCCTTTACCGGGCTGGTGCAGCTCCCAGGTGCCTCCAGGCTTGGCTGCTGAGAGCTCACAGCTGCAGTCTGTTCTGGAAGATTGTCCGTAGCCAAGAGGAGCCGCCTCACTGGGGGACAACCTGGGAGGTTATGCCCTCCACCCCTGGGGTGATGTGCCAATGCCTGACCCATGTGAGCCCAGCCCTCGGACCTCTGGGTGGGACCCTCTCCGTGGCATAATTCCCATCCCAGAGCTCCCCATCGGATCGGATTCCAGCAGAAACCACCTACCCATTTAGCTTGTCCCCCTGCCTGGTCCTGTCACCCTCACTTCCCAACGGAAGTACTTCCTTAACAAATCATTGCACAAGAATCCCCAACTCATTTTTGCCGAAATGGAAGACTTTATCATAAAATTCATTTGACATCTCAAGGGACCCAGAATAGCCAAAGCAATCTTGAAAAATAAGAACAAAATTAGAGGCCTCATACTTCCTGATTTCAAACCTGACTACAAAGCTGCAGCAATGAACACAGCGTGGTAGTGGCCTAAGGAAAGACAGATGGAATGGAATGGAGAGCTCAGAAATAAACCCTCACATATACGGCCAAGTTATTTTTGACAGGCGTGCCAAGACCATTCGATGTGGGTGAAGGACAGTCTTCAACAACTGGTGCTGGGAAATCTGGATATCCACCTGCAAAATAAGGAAGTTGGACCCTCACCTTATACCATATAAGAAAGTCAACTCAAAATGGATCAAAGACCTAACCCTATGAAAAGCTCTTAGAAGAAAATATAAGGAAAAAGACTCATGGCATTGGAGTTGGCTGGACTATATCACAATTAAAAACTTGTGTGCATCAGAGGACACAGTCAACAGGGTTAAAAGCCAGCCTGCAGAATGGGAGAAAATATTTGCAAATCACATCTTAGATAGGGGACTGATACCCAGAATATATACCAACAACAACGAAAACCCCCAAACAACCTGATTTAAAAATGGATAGAAGACTTAAACAGACATTTATTTCAAAGAAGATATACAAATGGCCAATAAACACATGAAAAGATGCTCAGTTTGGGGGAAACTCCAATCAAAACCACAATGAGATACTTTTTCACACCCATTAGAATGGCTTTTATCCAAAGAATGAAACACAGTAATATTGGCAAGGATGTAGAAACATTGGAACCTCCCTTCACTGATGATGGGAATATAAACTGGTGCAGCTGCCTTGGAAGAGAATATGCAGGCTCCTCAAAAAATTAAACATAGAATTATCATATGATCCAGCAATTCCATCTCTGGGTATAGAACCGAGAGAAGTGAAAGCAGGGACTAAACAGATACTTGCACACCCACCACGTTCATAGCATTATTCATAACAGCCAAAAGGTGGAAGCATCCCAAGTGTCCACCGATGCATGAATGGTTTAAAAATTGTGGTATAGCCATACAATGGAATATTATTTAGCCTTGAAAAGGGAAGGACATTCTGACACGTGCTACAACATAAATGAGCCTTGGGGACGTTATTCTAAGTGAAAGAAGCCAGTCCCAAAAGCACAAATACTGTATGATTCCACTTACGTGAGGCACCTAGAGTAAGCAAATTCATAGACAGAAAGTCGAATGGTGGTTAACAGGGGCTGGAGGGGGTGGGGAATGGGGTGCTAGTGCTGGATGGGTAGAGTTTCAGCTTGGGAAGATGAAGAATTCTGGAGATGGATGGTGATGATGGTTGCACAACAGTGTGAACATGCTTAATGTCACAGAATTATACACTTATAAATGGTGAAGATGACACATTTTATTTTGTGTATACTTGACCACAACTGAAAAAAAAAAAAAAATCCTACCTTAGGCTCTGCTTCTAAGGAATCCAATGTATGCCACAATCATCACACCCAATTTAGAGAGGAGGTACACTGAGGCTCAGAGTGACTCTAGATATATCTTAGCCAGTGGGAATGATAATAGTCACCACCACTTGGTTTCTGTGAGGATTAAATCGAATAATGATGCACGTAAAGGCCCCTGATCAAGGACGAGCATTACCCATGAAGATGTGGGAGAAGGAAACCAGAAAGGAGTCTCGGTGACTTCAACTGAATCATGGTCGAATGTTGGCAATTTTCCATGGTTCAACCTAATAGAAGTGTTTGGTTCTTAAGCTGGACGGGCAGAAGCAAAAATATTTCTGTCATTGTTTTCTATATAATTGTATATGCTTTAAATATCTCAAAATAAAATATTTTTATGGAATAAAAATTAGAGTAGGTAGGGAGCAATAGAAGGGTTTGGAGGGGGAGCATCTGTCTTTGGCTGGAAATACAAGGGTTTGATCTGACACGCATCAGGCGGAACCCTGGCTCCGCGTCTCTTGAGCTGTGTGACTGTGGGCGAGTCACATGACGTCTGGGGCCTCCGTTTTTCTTGTCTGGAAAGTGGTGGTCATGATCCCAACCTCAGCAGATCGAGTGCATGGAAAACACCAGCTAGCACCGAGCTAGCACAGAGCTGGGACATGAGCTCGATGCTGCTGGACCATGGTGGTGGTGCTAGATGGGATGGAGTGTTAGCTCCAGGTTCCAGTGGGACCCAACCCGACAGTGCGCCGTAGTGCTCTGCGCTACGGTTCTAGCCCAAGCTTTCCAGGCCCCAACCTTGTCAGTGAGTGGGGTTCAGGTATTTACAAAATTGCTGTGATTTCATCTATGGTTTTCTCCTCTCCAAGTTTACCCTTTCTATGCCAGGGCCCCAGTTATTCTTTGGTGAAATACATGGAAGAAAGCAAGTTAATTAATTAAGTAATAAATAATAATAATAATAATAGCAGTATGTTTTACTTAGATATTTCTCCTGTTTTACCTTGTTAAAACATTGCCCAAATTTGCCCCCTAGCCATTCATGTCCATGACATCCCACACTTCTTTTTTCAAAGCCCTGATAATAATGGGCATTATTCATTTAATATCACTCTCTTGGGACGCTTGGGTGGCTCAGTCTGTTAAGCGTCTGCCTTTAGCTCAGGTCATGATCTCAGGGTCCTGGGATGGAGCCCCGTGTTGGGCTCCCTGCTCAATGGGGATTCTGCTTCTCGCTCTCCTTCTGTGTGCGCGCGCTCTCTCTCTCGCACTTGCTCTCTCTCAAGTAAATAAATAAAATATATTTTTTAAAAAATATCACTCTCCCCTGTGATGGGAGGGACACTCTATCTTGTCTCTGCTGTGACCCCAAAACCCAGCACAGGGCAGACAGCAGCAAGAGTTTTGTGTTTGGGAGTGAGGGGGTTGGAAGGACACAGGTAATTTCACTGCTGAGCCCCTAGGTGAAGAGATTGCTGCTCAGAGAAATCAAGCCTTGTCCAGAATAACAAGAAATAGCATAATTTGAAGGAATGTATTGCAAAATGGAGTCAATGGGTCTCAAACTCAAAGGCCTACCAAGGCCAGACAAATGGGTAAGCGCCAAGTAAGAGGAACACAGAACACATATGAGGATAAATGGCAAGAGACCCTCAGGGCTAGAGGTAATTTGGAGAGGAAGAGACTATGATCAACCATGGTGTGTCCTGTCTACAGGGAGGACAGATCTAGCCACATGGCTCCCTTACAGGAATGTGGGCCCCAGATGACCAGATACTCTTTTTTTTTTTAACTCCACCCAATGTGGAGATCAAGAGTTACATGAGCCTGAGATCAAGAGTTACATGAGCCAGCCAGGTTCCCCAGATACTCTACTTTTGGAAGAGACATGAGGAGTCTGGCTTTTTACATTAATTCTCCCAATTTAAAAACATGGACATCCACTTTAAGTTAAAAAAATACTGTGTGGGCAATTTTTTGTGGGCATAATGTAACCCCTAGGTAACCAAATTGTTACCTCTGTTCCATACAGAGAGACAAATCTAAATTCTGAAACACATATGATTCCAAACAGTATTTACATCTAGAACAAAGAAATTCTCTTTGACATTGTCTAACATGTGAGTAGGGTCCCCCTGGAGTTGTGCAGTGCCCAACCTATACAGATGTATGTGGCAGACCTGATATGCAACTCTTGAAGCTGTCACACCCCCACCAGTCCAACTCAATAGAAATGCCAATGCCCCTCCCCCCACATCCATTCTATTCTCTGGACCATGAGGAAAAGCCTTTCACCTGTCTTGGGCCCAAGAGCTGTGCAGCAAGGCCATTGAAGGGACGTTCTAGCTATCATGACCAGATTTGCTCTGTCCTCTAGGGTGGTGAAATTCCGTCGCACGGGCGAGAGTGCAAGGTCAGAGGATGACGCGGCTTCGGGAGAGCATGAGGTCCAGATTGAAGGGGTCCGCGTGGGCCTAGAGGCCATCGAGCTGGATGATGGGGCAGCTGTGCCCAAGGAGTTTGCTAATCCCACTGACGGTGAGAGGGCTCTGCAGTTGGGACATCAGCCTGGACCACAGTCAGGGGCTCTGAAATGCCAGAGTTATCTCCCCAGATCGTGCTCTCAGAGGCATCTAGTGAAGGGGCAGGTAGGAGGGCCCAGAGGGCCCAGAGGTGGTGCTGGAAGTGTGGGCTGGGCCTACATGGCTTCCTCCAGCAGATAAAGTTACATCACAATCCCCGCCAGTCAGCTTCATTGCATAACACTCAGCTGAGGGCAGCAGCAACAATGATGGTGATGATGGTGATGATCATGGTGGTGGTGATGATGATGATGATGGTGAGGAGGAGGAGGAGGATGATAGTGAGGATGATGATGGTGGTGATGGTGATGCTGATGATGGCAATGATCATGGTGGTGGTGATGGTGATGATGATGGTGCTGGTGGTGATGATGATGATGATGATGGTGAGGAGGAGGAGGATGATAGTGAGGATGATGATGGTGGTGGTGATGATCATGGTGATGGCAATGATAATGTTGGTGGTGATGTTGATGCTGGTGGTGGTGATGATAGTGTAATGATGATGGTGGTTGGTGGTGATGAGGGTGATGATGACCATGGTGACAGGAGGAGCTGACATTGGCCGAGGATTTACTCCGGGCCAGGCACCGAGCGAAGCACTTTACATATATGACCCATTTAATCTTCACATCAGTTCCAGTTGGAATTATTATGCTCATCTTCCCCTTCTTGCAGAAGAGAAACCTGAAGCACAGAAAGACTCAGTATCTTGTCCGGGGTCACACAGCTAAAAATTAGCAATGCTGGGTCCACAGCCAGGCAGTCTGGCCTCAAAGCACATATTCAGACCCATGACCTTGTGCTCCTCTCAGTAGAGCTGGTCAAACAAGAGACCTGAGGTGGGGCCTTCGGACCTTGTCTCCCTTCACACATGATGCTGATGGACAAAAACATTACATGCATCCCCGAAAGGCCCCAGATTCCCAACATGAGAGAGGGTTAATGTCTTAAACCCAAAACCTGGCTGGGGTAGGAGATCTAAGGAGGCAGTGGCTGGGGGGGGGGGGGGGTGGGCAGGCAGTGGTTGGGGGCACTGGCTTTATTCCCAGGCTGATCTGGGCTCAACTCCCAGAGCTACAGTGCGGCCACTGTGTGACGCTGAGCAAGTCCATGTCCTCCTCTGCGACAGGGAGCTGGGACTGGGCCTGAACTAATAGCTGAGACAGGGACTAAATGGGACAGTGAACATCAAGGTCTTCGTATGGTGCCTGGCCCACGGTGAGCAATCAGACGCGCACTTTTATGTATTACTCTTCTTCTTACTGATGACTCTCCAGGACTCACTCTGCTTTCTCCCCAGTATTTTTTTGCTGGAGGAAACCAGCCCCTGCTGATGTGATAAACACCAGCTCACACTTCTGGAGAAAATTATGATTGATGCAAGAGGCCCATGATTGAAATTCTACAAAGATGACAACTCCCAGCAGGGCCTGATGAGAGCCTTAGAGGTAGCTCACAGAAGGGCCACCCAGGGCGCTCCTTTAGTATTTTTATTTTGTCATTAACTTTTTTTGGAAACCCTTGTAGATTTACAGAAAAGTTGCAAATATAGTTGAGAGAGCTCCCACATACCCTTCATGCAGCTTCTCCTGGTGGTAACAACTCTCCCGGCCACCGTGCATTTGTCAAAACGAAGAAATGAACACTGGTGCCATGCTATTGGCTAAACCCCAGACTTGATTCAGATTTCACCGGTTTTTCCAGCAGTGTTGTTGCAGGACACCGTCCAGCCTACTAGATTGTGTTTGGTCTTTCCACATTTTTCAAAAACACTTCTTAGCATATCAATTATATCCTGATTTTTCTGAGCACACAAATAACACATGTTCCTTTGGAAGGCATTTCAACACTACAGAAAGGTACAAAGTGGGAAAGTGAGTGCCATCCTCAACGATGATCCTGTTAACAATTTGTGGACATTCAATTTTACTTCTCCTACATGGTGCGTGCACGCACGCGCGCGCACACACACACACACACACACCTAATTTTATCAAAAGACCACTCTTAACGATGCATACCTCTCCCCAGTTACCTTTTTGACTTCACAATATAACGTGGACAGCTTTCTATCTAAGTGCAGTGGCATTTTGCTTTTAAAAAGTCTTTCTTTCTTTCCTGACTATGGAAGCAATACATTGCCGAAGAGAGCTAAAATCTCATAGGATCGCTCCCTTCCTCTCTCCAAAGACAACAAAAATGCAACCGTAATGTAAAGTTTGGTATACATTCCATGCACCGACACAAACATCCATCCATATGCATACACATACACATAGGCGTGTACATTTCCCAGAAGAGACTCATACTAAATATGCTGCGCATTTTGCTTTGTTTTCAAAAATTAATTAACAATATGTCGGGTGCATCTTCCTATATCTGCAGATTCTTTTTAACAGGCAGGTCATATTTCATAATGTGAATATATACACACGTATATATGATTACGATATATATAATAATTTATCTAACCAACCCCTGTTGACAGACTTTCTGGGTTTTCCCGTTTTCCCTTTTACAAACATTGTTGCCGTGGACTTTGTAGCAAGGTATCTCTTCACATTTGCAGGAGTGTTTCTCTAGGATAACATTTCTAGAAGTAGTGTGTGCTGTCTTTACTAAGCTTGGCTTAGTAAGACCGCCCCCCAAACCCCTCACATGAGGATAAGTGCAGGATGCACTCATTCCTTCCCCCCTCTCTCTCTGTCTCCTTTCCAGATACTTTCATGGTGGAAGATGCAGTGGAAGCCATTGGGTTTGGAAAATTTCAATGGAAGCTGTCTGTTCTCACCGGCTTGGCTTGGGCAAGTATTTCTGGGGGTGGTGACCTCACATTCAGTCTCCAGGAAACCTCATGCTGCCCAGCTGGCTTCCGGGGGCCATAAGGAAGGACATAGTTCCCTCCACGTGGAGCCTTTGCTTGAATCAACAAAAGTTTATGTTTCGAGATCCTGGTGATCATGAAGATCTGCCCTTGGCAGGAGTTTGAGTGTAGCTGGCGATTGCCCTCAAGGTGGATTTGAAGTTTCTGGCTAAATTAAGTGGTGATTCTCAACCCTTTGGGACTCAGGGCTGCCATAAGATTATGATGTCGTCTGTGGAGCTCATCCTAGATAAACATGCACAAATAAAAATGTGCCTCCTGCTTCAAGAATTTCATGATCCCTTGTTAAAAATCCCCTAATCCACCTCTAGCAAAGAACACATCTAGACCTTTAATACAATTGAAACTGACTTTTATGAATGCTGCAAGACGGTGACCAAACTACCTATTTTTTCAAATGAATCTCCAGTTTCCCCACATCATTGTCCCCCCTAATTTAAAAAGCCACCTGCATTATCCATCACATTCCCACAGCCATGCGGATCTGCTTCTGGTCTCTCATTTCTGTCTCGTCTCATAAAGGTACCACAATGTGTAATTACTGCGACTTCCTGGTGTGTGTTAATATATTAAAAGGTCGTCCTTGTTAAATATACTGACAGTTCTGCCTGAGGTTGATAAACCAAAGATAAACTGGTCTTTAACTGAGCTGAAGAGAAAAGATCATTTTCTCTCTACCTCTACAAAAGGTTTTTTTTCAGATTTTAGAGATAGAATGTTTCCCCACTTCATTTGGGGAATGCCCCTATTGTTTTAAACACAGAAACACACAGAATGTTAAATGCCTACTTGTCAATTCCCACGTGGTACCACACTGTTTGAACTACCGGACCTTTCAGTGTGTTTCAATGTGCAGAAGGGTGCTCAGCAGCCAGTGGAAGAGGGCGGTTCTGCATGCTCTCCCAGGGGTCATGGACTTGGGCGCAGCCGGCCCCAGCCCTAGGCAGATCCTGGCCTCACGATGTTTGCTTCCTCCCTGCAGATGGCCGATGCCATGGAAATGATGATCCTGAGCATCCTTGCACCCCAGCTACACTGCGAATGGCGACTCCCCAGCTGGCAGGTTGCGTTACTGACCTCGGTAGGCAGCCCTGCAGCTCTCTGGTCGTGTGGTCGTACGTGTTCAGGACATCCCCTAGGGCGTTCTGTGGGGTGTCTCCCTCTCTTGCTGCTGCCAAGGGCTCAGCAGGGAAGAATTAAGCCCTGGTTGGAAACAATGGGGACCCCAGCTTCCTTTTACTCCGCTGTGCACCTTGCATATCCCGGCAGGTTTGCAGCCAACACTGCTCCACCCAGGGGACCCACGACCTGGGGTCCCAGACTTTCTGCTCAATTGCTGGGAAATTGGAACCCACCTGCACATAAACCTCCAAACCTCCAAACCTCACTTGATGGCAAAAAGGAGATGCCAGTTCCTCTCGCACGAGGGTGATCTGAGGATTGAAACAACACTGTGCCTGACACATAGTAGAGGTTTAATAAATGGTAGGGAGCGCTCCTCCCTGAATTAAGACTTGATGGAGAGTGAGGGAGAACCCTCAATATTTGTTAGGGGTGTCCAGCGGCAACCCTCTAAAAGGGAGGGGAACGGTCAGGCTGGATAAGAGGGTAATAATAATGGTACAAAAGCTAATATTTCCTGAGCTCTTACAGTGCAAAGGGCTTTACATATATTGCATGCCATCTATGCATAATATATATTGTGCTCTTTAATCCTCACAACCCTAGGAGGTAGGTACTATTATTAGCTGAGGAAAATGAGGCACAGAGAGGTTAAGTCACTCACGAAAGGTCACACAGCCTAGCTGCTGGCAGAGTACAGTCATTGTTAACCAGGAGCACCTCCCAGAATGCTATAACTGTTCTGGAATGGCTTGAGCGCCTTCAGCAACCAGGCCTGATAACAGCACTGATACCCGCCCCCCTCCA